GTCATCCGTGCGCATTCTCTGATGGGCCTGTTTCAAGAAGAGATCCGTTCCAGACTCATGAAAGATACCTGAAGATTCTGCCTTGGACATTATTAATGACCCGACAAGAAAGTGAGCTTCGGATTTCACAGCTCGGGGGCGGTGGTAATCTTAGACGGTTTAACGGTGTTCTCCTCTGTAACACCACTTTGCAGACCTCTCCTGACTAACTCCTAGAGAGGGAGGAAATTGAATATGTGCCCCTAGAAATCTTGGGGAATCACCCAAAGTGATAAATAAGGGGGTTATTTTTTTTTTCTTCCTTTTTTGGAGAGGTTTTTGCTATAGGGCGCGTGCACTCACCGGAAAGACAGAGAGAGACAGAGAGACAGAAAATGAGAAATTACCCCCTAGAGGGGATGGCCACACCGCAATCCCTTCTCCATTCTCCTCTCAGGATCTTGGGCACGCACGCACACGCGCCCGGCGTGAGTTTTAAGCCACTGGGTCCGGGATGCGAACCGTGATCGACTACGCAGGAGTCCAGCGACATAGCCATTACACCAACTGCTGGTCCCAAGGGGGGTCATTTTTTTAAAGTGTCCTATTTTATATTTAGGGAGGTTTTTGTCCACTTTCACAGCTGTCTTTAGTTAATAAGTGATTCTGCTAGTCCTCTCCAGGTCCAGGTGACGGCCTGGAAGAAGGCGCTCACTTTACTGCACTCCGGCTTGCTGCAGCCGGTGCCCCGGTGCCCCAGCGCGAGGAGCGCAGTCTTCTAGGGCGGGAGCTGCCTCAGGAGCTTGGCTCGGCCGTTAGGGGGACACGGGCAGCTGCGTGCCTGTCCTCCGTCCTTACGTCCTTCCAGGCGTGGGGTCCCCCTCGATCCGTTTACCAGGGTTTCTTTCTTGGACTTGATTGGCATGGCTTTTCCCTGTGTCCCCGTCGTCTTTGAGTTTCTTTGTCCTCCCAGGGTAGGATAACCACATAGATCGGCTTCTGGAGACCCGTCGTCTTTGAGTTTCTTTGTCCTCCCAGGACAGGATAACCACATAGATCAGCTTCTGGAGACACAGTCTTCCTCTTGATGGTGTTAATGTCTTCCCCGTGGCGGTGCTTAGTACGTCATGGAAGGCACAGTTACACACAGAGACAGCAGCAGGCTTAGCCCTGGGTGGTGTGTGCTGCAGTTCACTTCTGGGTTGGGGATTGGGTGTGGGAAGGTGGCAGATTGTCATTTCTGCTTCCCAGATGGAAGGAAACAGACTCAGGACACCACTAAGAAAACTGACTAACTTTGGGACCACCAGGTGGCGTGGTGGTGAAGGTGCTGGACTCCCACATGGTCGACTGTGGTGTGAGGCCTAGGCCTGGAAGCTTGAAAGTCACACTGAGTGCGTGTGAGCCCCCAAAATCCCAGGAGGAGAGTGGGGGAGAAGGGATTGCTGTGTGGCCATCCCCCATACGGGTTGATTTCTCACTTTCCCTTTCTGTGCCTCTGTCTGCTGAGGACGCACACATGCCCCATGGGAAAGAAAAGCTAAAAAAAACGGGAAAGAAAACTAACTTTAAATCATGAACAAATGCCAGCCTATGCCTGTTAAATGTATTGCATTTTATAGTCACTCCTAGTCGAGTTCCAGTTTTTGTTACAGTCTTGACAAAAATTTAGTTTTTTTGTTTGTTTTGGTAGAGGCTTTTGCCTTAGGGTACATTTGCTTTATGGAGAGAGAGAGACAGAAATAGTGAGAGAGAAAGTGAGAAATTACTCCCGGGGGATTGGCCACTCTGCAGTCCCTTCTCCGTTCTCCCATGATCTTGGACATGCATGCACTGGGTCTGGGACTTGAACCATGGTCGGCCATATGGTAGTACAGTGACATACCCACCATGCCATCTGCTGGCCCGGTGCTTTTTGGTAATTTAACAACAGCGAGGGTTTCCTTTTAAAGTGTTTTCATACTAAATCGTATGTTAACAAGGTGGTTGCTGATTCCCGGTACAGAAGGCCTGGCTGGTGTTAAACCCTGAAGCCTCGTGTGGGTGTCGTTTGCGCCCACTTCCCTCTCCCCTCCGGAAGCCCGAGGTCGTGTAACTGCTGCGCTTGTTTGCCCCCGCGTCTCCCCACTCGTTCCTCTGCAAAGCCGCCTCGTACCAAATGCAGGTTCGTCTTCGGGAGGGTATCTCCTACAAAAATAGCTTTTTACCTAGCCTTGCAGATTCTCGGATCCCTTTTACTCCTGTGTTACATGGTCGGAACCCTCTCATTGGGTAGGCCTGGAGGTCGCTGTTACCTAGTTTATAAATACAGAAGCAAGAACGGTGTGGACGTGACTGGCAGCTCAGTGGGGAAGCCAGGACTTGACCACGTCTCTGGGTTCTATGGCACCGAACCTCCTGCGTCAGTACCCCAGTACTGTTTAGAAACATCTTCTGGGACTCTTCCTGTGTTCCCAATGGGAAGTTTTATTATGGAGGCTGAATTATCTACACAGAAGATAGTGCTGAAATATTTCAAGATTTTATTTGTTTATTTATTTATTGCCATAGGGTACTTGTGCTTGCCGGAGAGAGACATAGAGGTAAAGTGAGAAATCACCCCGCAGGGGGCTGGCCACGCCACGATCCCTTCTCCTCAGGGTTTTGACACACATGCACCTGCTCCCGCTGGTTTTCAAGCCGCTGGGTCAGTAATTCCAGCTGCTGATCTCGCTCTGTGGGACCAGCACCGTAACCCCACCCACTCCCCCTGCTGGACCTGTCTTTTTTTTTTTTAAGGTTTACTTCAAGGAAGAAGTCATGGGTTTTCTGACTTTCCAAATAGAACTGGTCTCTGTTCTAGGCAAGTCGAAGGTGTTTGGCTCCTGAGAACAAAGCAGACTGGAGAAGAGATAGCGAGGGGCTACGTTTCCGCTTTTCTCCTTGTTTCTGGAAGTGGTAGTTTACCTTACTTTGACATTTTACAAGAGGGTCAGGAGTGGAAGGATCCCACCCGTGGTTCCTAGTAGGAATTTCTGGCCTAGGAAGTTTCGCAAAAGTAGTAATGGAGATCTTCTAGCTATTGGGAAAGTTAAAAGAAAAGCAAGCACACAGAGGAAACCCATGGAGACAGTACATTTTAAAACTGTGGAGCTTAAGATGTCAGAACTTCTTTCCTTTGGGCTGGAATTTAATGAGCCTGAGTAGAAACCCTGGTTGGCAGCAAATGGATATGGCCAATTAGTTATTTTTGAAAACTGCTCATTTGTTTATAGACAAGGAATCTGTGAGAAGAACAGTCAAGTGAATGGGCTCAGGTTTCCTTTGTACATCGATTGTAGTTGGTCTTAGCTGCGCTGCAGTGATGGGGAATGCCCAGGAGGGGGCACCAAGGCTTGCTTAACTGCTGGATCTCCAGCCAGCGCCTGCAACATCGGAAACCCCTTTCAACTTTTCCCCCGTGAACTCTGGCGGAGCTGTAGCTGTAGCTGTGCCCCAGGTCCCGTCCACCAGCCTCCCCTGAACACCCTTAGTGATGGTACCTGTGCTCTGTGTTGGCATCTGACCACATTCTGCCTGCGTTGAGATCTGCAGCACTGGCTCCCCCAGCGTGGAAGATGCCAGCAGGTACCAGTTGCCTTTACCACAGTTTCTTCCTTTCCATATTTCCAGCGGTGCCAGGCCCAGGACCCCTGAGCTGCTTTACTGAACTAACCTTAGCTGACGCTCAGCGAGCCAGTCACCCTCAGTGTACTTTCTGCTTTGAAGAGTGTGTTTACTTTCCCTTCTGCCTAAAACGACTTCCGGGGTAGGTGGGAGTTGTGCGTCTGCAGGTCGTACGGTTCCCTAAACTTCCCTCTGTGGCACATCCTGACCCACCGCTTTCCTGCTTCGAAGATGGTGGGTAGAGAGATCACTGCTCGGGTGGGTGTCCCTGCAGCCCTGCCGCCGGCCTTGGCAGCGGGACCTCCCTGTGTGACAGATGGCAGGTAGCAGTGGAGTTTGCAGGCCGCTGCCATGTAGGTAGGAGCTTGGAAGAGCAGAAAGAACCTTCCCGTGTAGCTCTCTCCCCTCTGCCTTATTTGGGCTCCCGGCGGGGAATTCTGCGGCAAATAGAGCTGTCGTCTGAGGAGAGAAAGCCTCCACTTACTGAGGAGGGGGCTGGACGGGGCAGTAACTCCATGACCATGTTCTAGTTGGATTACGTCATCCTACTGGGGGCTGTTCAGTAAGTGGATATTCCAGTCTGTCTTTTTCAGACAACAGATAAGGCTTTTAAGCCAATTGGAAGGAAATTTGAAAAGGTTTCATAATACTATGATTCCATTAATACAGCATTATGTGTACAGACAACTAAGTTCCATCTTCTAGGCCTGACCCTGGCCCTGCCTCACCTCTGTGGATACCGTTCCAAGCTGTTTGATTTGACTGTGTGTCCAGAAATGTTGTGTTTGATAGTGAGCCCAAAAGCACACAAAACTGCGCGAACCGCATTTACATTCACTTCACTTAATTAAAAAGCAAGCCATAGTCCAGGCAGGATCGGAGGTAGCAGGGTCCACGTGGTGTCTGGCCACTTCTCTAAAGGGTATTCGTTGAGCTCCCTGGGGAATGTGATCGACTAAAGCCACGTTTTTATTGCTACGTCCGGGAGTACTCAGGCCAACGGTTTTGACCTTTGGATGTGTAGACGCACCAGAGATGAAGAGAAAATGACAGCTCTTCTTGGCCATTAAGAAGCCAGGAGTCTCGCATGGCATTCCTTCGTCCTCTGACTTACACACAGAGCCCAGAGTGTGGCCCTCGCTCTGTGGGGTGGCATTACGATGAAGAGTTTGATCAGAATTGACCTGTTAGATACTCATCTTCTTTGCAGATCTGTATTCTTATTTATTATCCTTGGCAATGGAATTTAAATTCATCGGGATGGGGTAGGGTAGCTTATATTACATTTTCAGAAATGGATTTAGGAAGTCTTCACAGGAAGCGTTTGGGAATTACTAACCCAGATCAGTATGACCGATCGGCTGCTTTGCTTCTAGGTGATCGGCGAGGACAACGTGGCAGTCCCCTCACACCTCTACAAGGTGATCCTGGCTCGCAGAAGCCCGGACTCGACCGAACCCCTGGCACTGGGGGCCTTTGTGGTGCCCAATGAAGCCATTGGCTTCCAACCCCAGTTAACCGAATTCCAAGTGAGCCTCCAGGAGCTGGAGAAGCTGTCGGGCTTGGTGTTTTTTCCTCATTTGGATCGAAACAGCAATATCACGAATATCTGCTCTGTGGACACGTGCAGGCTCCTGGATTTTCAGGAGTTCACTCTGTACCTGAGCACAAGGAAGATTGAGGGAGCCCGATCAGTGGGCCGGCTGGAGAAGGTCATGGAACACCTGAAGAATGTGGGGATCAAACCAGACGACTACTTCCTGAGTCGCTATGAGAGGAAACTGCAAGAACTCAAAACCCAGGAGCAGTCAGGGAGCCCGGGGGGGAAACTGAAAACCCAGGAGCAGCCAGGGACCCCGGGGGGGAAACTGAAAACCCAGGAGCAGCCAGGGAACCCGGGGAGGAAGCCCTCCTAGCTTTGCTCTGAGAAGATCCCATGTCTCATGAAGCAGGTGTGCTCTGGGAATGTGTCAGGTTAGTATGTTTTAGTGGCTGTGCTCAAAGGAATAATGGAATCCTAAATTTCAGACTGAAAATCCTCTCAAGAGAAGAAAGACCTACACAGTTTTCGGTCTATGTTTTATTTGACTTGGGATGTAAATTAAGGAAGCCGTTACACCTACAGGGCAGTGGCCGATCCTGCGCCAAGTCGACAAGACTGCACCTTCAAGATGGCGCCGGATGTGTGCGGTGTGGGAAGGACTGGTTTTTCGTGCCTCCAAATCACGCATTGACTTCGATGGACCTGCTCAGCCTTCTTGGAACTCCGTACTGTGCGTTTTTTCCCTTAGGACTGGAATTGGTCTTGGAGATGGTTTTTAGAACTCCTCTGATGTACTATCCTGTCCTCACGTACTGTATGAACATCTGGTCCTCTCGTGAGCTCGCTGTCTCTCCACTTCTGCCCTCGGGTATTCTGTATACAAGCTCAGGGCTGTACGTGTATTGTCGCAGCGGTCCTCCGAGGGACACACACTGTGTCCATTCCACCTGTGAGGAAACTGAGCTCAGAGTGCTGCCCGAGGTTCACCTTCCCAAGGAAGACTTCTCCAGGGTGTGAGGCACTCAGGGCTAAGAGGACAGCCAGCTGCAGTAGAGCCAGGTCTTCCCTGACACAGAGCGGACGCAGACCTATTTCCACGGGTATCTGTGGTCCGAGGCTGTCTGGCTCCTCATCTGCCCCACAAGGGTCTTTACTGTCCTCCAAGTCAGACTCACCTTAGCTCCTTGGAAGGAAAGTCCGAGCAGGTATTTAAAGTTCAGAGGACAGTGCTTGTGGGCTTCCCGGAGCCCCTGCTGGCCTCCAAGGACACGCTCTTCTAGTGACCAGGTGTCTGGTGATGTGTCCCTTACTTTCCAGGTGAGCTTTTGGTTCTAGAGATGACCTCAAGGAGGGCCTGTGCACTTAGCTCCCCTCTGGGTGGCATAGGGCAGAGGGTCCTTCGGGGCAGCGGTCCTAAGACACTCTCCTCTCCGGAGGGGACGGCTGTCTTCTGAGCCAGCTCTCCAGGTTCGGTTTACACAGAGCCCTTTCACGGCTGGTGTAACTAGAGGCAGGGAGGTATCCTGGGGGCATAAGGCCTCGTCTGGCAGTCTGTCTCCCACTGCTGTCCGTCCAGGTGCTATTACGAGTGCAGTTTTTGCGTAGCTTTTGTGTTTGTCTCAAATAAGAAATGCCAAGGCTTCAAGGTAAGATGGTAATGATTGACCTTTTTCTGCTCCTTTATTTGGATTGACAAAATAACTGCAGGTTGGAGGAGAGGGCTCGGAACACAGCAGCGTGGTTAATTCTGTTCCGTCACACTGTCCCCTTGGCTCGTGCCAGGCCTCCAAGATACAGAGCCAATGTCACTGTGACTTTCTGTCCGTGGAGAGTGCTGGTGGGGCCTGGGTGTTTCTCCAGAAGCCCGAGGACAGCTCTGTGGATAAGTCTTAGGTGCCTATACCCCTCACTAGAGGTGCCCCCGACTCCCTTCCCGCTTGCTCGGCTTGGGGCTGGCGGCCTGAATGGTGTGCTTCTCAGTCCTGCCTCCCCATGTACATGATGGAGAATTGGGATTTTTTTTTCCTCTCTTTTTTTTTTTTTTGGAGAGGTTTTTGCTATAGGGCGTGTGCGCTCACCAGAGTCAGAGAGACAGGGGGAATGGCCACGCCACAATCCCTTCTCCTCCATTCTCCTCTTGGACTCTTGGGCACGCACATGCACCCAGTGTGACTTTAAGCTACCGGGTCTGGGATTCGAACCACAGTCGACGACATAGGAGTCTAGCAACATTGCCATTACGCTAACTGCTGGTCCCGAGAATCGGGATTTTTTTAGGTCGGTACAGTGCCTTGGGTTTTTATTTCCTAAGAAAGATGCTACCTGGCCATTGTGGGAAACAGTAAGAGCTGTACTTAAAGCGCACAGCCTGCCAGCCCTCGTGTTTCCGTGTCTGAATTCTGTTAGTGTACCGCGGTGGCGCTGGACTCGTCCTCTCAGCACTTGCATGAAAGCCCCCCCAGGCAAACCCTCACTATTGGCTGGACCTTAGAGTTTTCCTCTGGATCGGTCACTTCCGCCCCCTCAGTGTGGCTGTTGATTATTCTGGATTCCACTGTAGCAGACCGCTAGGCCCCTCCTCAGTAGCAGGGTGTCCCTTTGACAGAGAACCCCACATCGCCATCCAAGCCTGAGCGGCTGGCCATCCTATCGGTGTCCCCGCTGTCCCCTGGGTCTGGTGTTGAGGCTGAGCCCAGGACTGCCTCTGTCCCACCTACCCTCAGAGTCCCTGGTCTGAGAGAGGCTGTCTGGAAGACCTGCCCATCCGGGTGGGCCCCGCTGTTGGAAGTGCCGTCTGAGGGTGCGGGGCCTCCTCCCTGCTCTGGGGGTCTGGGTGGACGTGTGTCACCGTGCTGTGTGCGGCAGCAGTGGGCTTTGCACAGGTCGCAGGGGTCGGGGAGTGTATGTCTGTCGGCTTTTTAAACAACCTGCTGGCATCTTTGCCCTCACGGCCTTGACCTTTAAACCCTGTAAACTTACGCCCCTCCTTCAGGCCTTGGGTTTGAGCCCAGCAGGAGCGTCTGATCCTAAGGGAATGGCTTCCTGCAGAGCTGTGTTCAGCCTGTGGCCAGGATTGGAATGAGCCTGAGTAGGGCCCTGTCACCTGTGTTCCCTGGCCTTATCCTTCTGAGGACAAAAGTATCCCCGGCTTTAACTCCAGGGATCACACATTCGCCATGAGCAGCCGACCCCTGACCCTGTCTGCATCCCGGATCTGCTGTACGTTCCCTGCTCACCCCCTCGCACCCGAGCCCCCTCTGCCCTTCTCCCTTGGGCTCTCCCAGCACAGTTCCTCGGCCCTCCTGGGTCCCCACTCCAGTTCCTTCTGGTGGGCCTGGTCAGGGCCGGCCTCATGTCGAGCATGGGCCTCTTCGTCCTGCCGGCCTCCATCCCAGCCTCGTCCTGTTTTTCAGGAGGTCACTTTTCTTGGAGATTGCCTCTCACCGACTCAGTTCTCCCTCTGCTGGTCCAGCCCTGCCTTCAGCCCGGACTCCAGGCTTGCCACGCAGGACGAGCTGCGTTTTGATGGGGGCACCCGCATGTAATTTGGGCAGTGGGATGTGGTGGTGGAGAGGCTTCTCTTTCATGTTGCTGAAAATGCCAGTGTGGCCACGGGGCTGGTGTGCCCCTGGGTGCACAGAGAACCTCTAGGGGTCGCTGTGGCCTCATGTCTTAGAGCAGGACTCAGTCTCAGCTGTGACCGCCCAGTTCAGAATTTCCCAGTCTGTAAGCCGCGAAGAACAGTCAGCCTCAGAGACTGTAGGCTCTCCGGCTAGATAGAATAGCATAGCTTATTTTTCCCCCAACATCATTATTTTTTCATTTTCTAATTTTTTTTTAGGTTTTTGCCATAGGACACAGAGGGAAAGTGAGGAATCACCTCCCCCCCACCCCTGGGTGGATGGCCACACCACAATCCCTTCTCCTCCATTCTCCTCTTGGGATTTTGGAAACAGAGAGAGAGAGAAAGAGAAGGGGGGAGGCAGGGGAGTGAGAAGTCAGGCTGCCAGGTCCGGGATTCAAACCACCACATCACCTCCCAGCTCCAGTAATTCATTGTTAACAACAAAGTAATTCATTGTAATTTCAAAACTAATTCATTCCAGAGCAATTTGCTGTTAATAACAAAAAAGTGAATTGTGAACATGATTTCACTTTTGTTTTATTTTTTAATTTGCTGTAGGATGCATGTGGTCACAGGAATGAGAGAGTAAGTGAGAGGTGACCCCTCAGGGGAGAGGATCATACCACAGCGCCTCCTCCATTCTTTTCTTCTGATTTTGGGCACACGTGCACACACACCTGGTTTGTTTCACCAGCCACCAGGCATGGGACCCAAACTACACAGTCAGCCATGTGGGACACGGCCACCCCAGCCACTATGCCACTGTCTGGCCCTGCTTAATACTTCCGTTTGTATTACCTAAGACAAGGACATTCCCCTGTTTTTATAAAATACCACATCTAAAAATTCCTAAGCATTCAGTGTCATCTAATAAACAGTCTCTGTTAAAATTTGCCAAGGTGTTCCAAGTTGTTTTTTACGCTTTTTAAAGTTCAAGTTTCACTCAAGTTTTACATTGTATCTAGGTTTTTAATCTAAAATATGCCTGGTAAGCTTCAAAAATATGGATTCTCCAGCCAGACCCTTGAGGGTTTTTTTTTTTTTTTGGAGAGGTTTTTGCTATAGGGCGCGTGCACTCGCCAGACAGAGACATAGAGACAGAAAGCAAGAAATCACCCCCCAGAGGGGATGGTCACACCGCAATCCCTTCTCCTCCATTCTCCTCTCGGGATCTTGGGCACGCATGCACACGCGCCCGGCGTGAGTTTTAAGCCACTGGGTCCAGGACACGAACCGTGGTCGACTATGTGGGAGTCCAGTGACACAGCCATTACGCTAACTGCTGGTTCCCTTAATTTTTTTTTTTTGACCCTTGAGGGTTTTTTTAAAGAGCTATTTATATAACTTTATTTATTTAAATTTGACCAGAGTGACAGAGCGAGAGGGAGAGGGGAGTGAGAAAGCAAGCTGCCAGGTTCAGGACTCGAACTGTAGTTGGCCAGCTCCCCTAACCACCACACCGCTTGCCACCCCCAACCCTTGAGGTTTTGAGTCAGTGAAAAAAAATTTTTAAAGAGGTTTTTGCTTCAGTGCATATGCTCTTGCCAGAGAGAGAGAGAGAGAGGGAAAGTGAGAACTCACCCATGCTGGCCATGCTGCAACCCTTTCTCCTCCATTCTGGGATGGCTACGTCGTACTCCCTTCTCCATTCTCTTCCCGGGATCTTGGGCACGCACACCCACGCACCCAGCATGAGTTTGAAGCCACCAGATCCAGGACTTGAACTGCAGTCAGTTGGACATGCGAGAATCCAGTGATGCAACTGTTACACCATCTGCTGGCCCCAGTGAAATCTTTTTAAAATTAGCCACACACTGGGGGACCAGCAGTTAGCATAATGGCTATTTCGCTGGACTCCCATGTAGTCGACCACTGGGTGGATGGCCCCAGTTCGAGTCCCAGATCCGGCGGCTTAAACTCATGCGAGGTGCGTGTGTGTGCGTGCCCAAGATCCTGAGAGGAGAATGGAGGAGAAGGGATTGCGGTGTGGCCATCCCCTGGGGGGTGATTTCTCGCTTTCTATCTCTCTGTCTCTTTCTGACGAGCGCACGTGCCCTATATCAAAAACCTCTCCAAATAAATAAATAAATAAATAAAATTAGCCACACCCCGTGATTGTGACGATGGCCAGAATGTGGAACCACACCATTCCCTCCTCTGCCTTTACCCTCCCCTCCACACTCCCGAGCTTCCGATCATCTCCACAGTCGAACTTTCCCTCATCCTTTTGCGCCCCCAGTACCCAGCTTCCTCTCTTGTGGAGATCAGGCGGAAACCTTCCCTGTAACTCCTGCTCATCAGCCATAGGCCCAAGCTGCCATTCCAGGCCACGTAGAACTGCCTGGCACCACTTTCCCTTGACGGTCCGTTTGAGATAGTCTCAAAACAAGTCTCATTTCACACAGAAGTGCTCGTGGGTGCCAGACCCTGCACCCTCCCGAGTTGGCAGCCACATCTGGGTAAGGGTCAGGGTGCAGCGAGAGCAGCACAGAGTTGAGGTGGGGACTGACCTCTGACCTCTCTTCTTGGGGACGCTCTACTCTTCTCACACCACCAGTGGTTCTGGGGGAACGCGCTCCCACTAACTGCTCCAGGTCGTTTCCGCATGATTCGCTGTCAACTCACTCTCCCGTTAGGCACTCGCAGTCAATTTTGGGAACACAAATGTGGGATTTTATGTATGCCCAACTGTTAGGATTTCATCTTCTTAGCTCCTACCCGTCTTCAAGGGGGTTCATGTTTTTGATGATCCCGATTTGACCGTCTGACATGTTGAGTTATGCCTTCCACTTTGAGATTGCAGATTGGATAAACAAGCCTTCACTGTGTTTGTTAGAAACATTGAATGAGACAGAGCCAAGGAAGATCCCTTTGGTTTAAAAAAAGTAATTTTACATGGATGGCAACCCGATTCGCACTCCCGCCCGACAAGTTTCACGTGAGAATGTGTTCTGGTGTTTTCTAGGAAGTTCCTTTCTGTTGTCTTTATTTTCTTTTGGTAAGGTTTTTGCCATAGGGTGTGTGCACTCCCTGGAGAGAGACAGGGAGAATAAGAAGTTCCCCATCAGGGGGATGGCCATGCCGCAGTCTCTTCTCTGTTTTC